TGTTTATGCCGCGCATGGATTGCTCGGATATTTATGGCAGAGATGTATTGCGAATTAGATTGGCATGAGCGATTGCCGGTGATTTTTTTTTTATTGCCCGCGCACCGGAGCACCACCGCCACCGACGAAGGACATTGGCGTCCAGCCGAGCGGATTATTTATGGGGCCGTGAAACGCGCGAGGGAGCCATAAGTCAGCGGATGATTTTGCAATTAGTACAGCTCACTTAATAAATAGAGGTGTGCCTCTTGATGGATGCGCGCTTCAGAGGCCAGGGTGGGTGGGACACGCACAGATCAACTCTCACGGTCGAGGATTATCTGCTCGCCTGCTTTTAGTGAAACGAAACTAAAATATTTCGGGGCTGAAGCGCATAATTGATGCGCTCACAATGCGGGCCTCGCGTAATCATGTTCAAATCAGGGGCACAATTACAGATTTGCCGTTTGCCTTTTCTCCGCGCCTAATTACGACACTTGCGGTAATGCCGATCGTACCGAAATCGAGTCAAGTTGTGACCTTCCCCGCATTCTCAGCCAAGTGCACGTGCGTCATGTGACACGACTGTGTCCTGTTGTTTAGCAACAGAGCCTTGAAGTGCACTGGCCAAGCGTCTGCCGAGCGCAGGTTCATGGTGTGCATACCCATCGCGCTACTGTGAGGATTGTACGTTCGCTCATAATAAGCAGAACAAGTACATGGGCATCATGAGGCTCGCAAAGACGAACTGAGAACTCTAGGTTCCTGAGGGTCCTTCTTTAATACCCGACACTCTAAAGAGATGCTCGCAAGTGGAGCCCGGCTGAAATTAATTCATGGTTGCTGCCATGGTGTGATGGTGAGCACACCATACTGGCAATCCACCGGTCACCGATTCAGCCTCCCGGCGCTGAAGTTCAAACAGTGGTTCACGTTTCTTAAATCCACCCGCCTCCGTCCACCCGGCAGTACAAGTTCGTCGCTCGACATGTCGTGTGTGGCGGGGCGAGGAGTGGGTACTCCCACCTCTTCCAAAACACCGGTCCAAGCGAGGAAGAGCAGGCCAAATACCCTGTAGAACTGCCCTCTGAGAGCTCCCTCGCGCGTAGGCCCTGCCACCAGGGTGGTGCCGCGAGCCGGCGATCTCCGGGCCGCGCCTTTACCCTCACTCGGCAAGTTCGTACACGACAACAACAATCTGCGCGGGAACCAAGCGCAGCCACGGCGCCGGCGGATGCGAAGCCGCGGCCGTTGACTTTTATATTGTGAGCAAATAGGTCCCGCGCAGGCAGTTCAGTAAATCGGCACAAACAAGTCGCTCCTGGGTAATTAATGCAGCGGGATGTGGATGGCAGCGGTGCTTGCCGTGACTCACGTCCGCGTAATGGCTATCGATTGCCTCCCCCCCCCCCTCCCGTTGGCCGGGACCCCCGTGCTTCCCGGCTGAATTGAATTAAAAGATCGGGCGCGGTGCTCGCACCAATAATCATTGCCCCCCCCCCCGCCCGGATCCACCCCCCCCCCCCCCCCCGCCGCGCGTGTGACCTTCAGAGCGTTGCCAGCCGTGGCCTCTCCCTTTCTCGTCCTCCTCCTCCTCCTCGTCATCCTCATCTTTGTCCTCTGGGAGGTGTCGAATTGTGCGAAGGAGCGAGTGAGCGAGCGAGTGGTTGAGACACCGGCGGTACTGCTCCTTTGACGCCCTGAGGGCAGGGATGCGACGATGGTTGGGCGTGGAGCAACGGCACCCCCGGGCCGCCATCGAGTGCCTCGGTCGACCCACGGTCATCGTCATCGAGACTTTGGTCCTCTGGAGCTCGTGTGGCCAGGTGGCTCGGAGGACACCGCTGAAATCCATGCCCTCCTGGGTTAATAAATGTCATTATTAATATTGCATAACATTCCACACCCACTTTGCTAATAAATCATGAAGTTGGAGTTTGAAATGTCTCCACGTGCAATCAAGTGTTGGGAGGTGCCAGAATCAATCTGCGGCAAATTAACATTTCACATTGGTTCTCCATAGCATGACAATCTGGTACTTATTTTAGTAACCCTGGAAGGATGATGGACCGAGTAAAACAGATTGTGATGGGGTTCGCTAACCCATCTGTGTGTACTGCCGAGAATCATCGTGGTTTTTCTCCCGGTGCTGCGGGTCCTTTCTCACTTGCAATGCAATGATATGAAAATAATTGGCCAAACATCCCGAATGCAGAACTCTCCTGAAGTGATTCATAAGGCTTGCCCAGAATAAATATATCACATTCTTCTATTAGCATTAAGATTCCCGCTTGACTTGTGGTTAGCCAGATACTTGCACACACCCTAAGCTGTGTGTTTTCTAGGTTTGGCACATAGCTTATAATACTTATGACACATGACAGGGTATATATATATTATTTTTCCCCCACCACAAAGAAGCATGCACCAACAGAGCGTTCTACGAGCGTTCAGGCACAGGGACAGGCACAAGGCATGTGGTGTCACTTGAACAGACATTGTTTATGGTGGCAGGGTGACTGATCGGTGCTCAAGCCCCCTGCCTTCATCAAAAACTCGACACACTCGTCAACAACACTGTGACCTTAGCAACATATATATACAATAGACGATGTTTTGGGAAACGGCCCTTTGTCATCGCGCATGCGTTTACCACCAATGCTGAGAGTCTTGGGTTCAGAAATCCGGCAGGTCACCGCACTCTAGATCTTTTCTCTTCTGAGATTTGGCTATGCAAGAGATTTTCGTTGAATGAAATCTTGAAGTGGCCTTTTTTGTTTAAAAAAATCTGTGCACACTACGGGGCACAATTTCGCACGCATTGATTTGGCTATGAGAGAGGACGGCAAATGCCAAAATGTTTATCTCACGGAGCTGGCATTTTGCCAAATTATTATTCCATCCAAAATCCGCAGGAGGTGTGTTGACCTGTTTTTTTTTCTTTCTGAAAAGTATCTTGTTGTTATTTTTTTATTTCTGTTGAGCGTAAAGCAATACAGAACTTCAGACTGAGAGTGAAAGCAATAAATGCCGTAGCTATAATCTTTTGGGGGCCCATTTTGGGGCAATTTTTATATTTGGAGCATTTAAATGATAAACATAGTCCTGACCGTATTTGTACCAAATTTTTCGCTTGCGAGCCCTTTGGAGAACATCCTCAGAATTTAAGGAAAATGACGTTATTTTTTTTTTATGTTACATAATCTACAGAGAGAAATGAGTGGGTGTTCTTCATGGTTAGAGAAAGCATGTTGAGGCACTAAATTGCCTCTCAACAAGGAATCCACTGCTTGTCATTCGCCGATTTTCACTGTTGCCACGCGTAGGAGGAGGCAGTTGCCCTCATCAAAAGCATTCCCAAGCTCTGCCCTTAATGAATAATGGACATCCTTGAAGGTTACATTAATTGCTCTCTTAATACTGTCATGTTGCTTTCTGCCACTGCTTATCACCGACCTAACTTATCCTCGGCAAAGGCACTTTCCCGTTCGATTAAACCTTTAATTGTTTCTGTGGCAATTCGCGCCGTGGGGATTATTGTTTGACGGCCGCACGGGATGAGCCGTGGTGGCGGCCGGCTTAGAGTCCCGTTTGTAAGCGGCGGCGCGGTTAAATGAAATGCCGTTCGCTAGGCCACACCCTTCGCCAAACGCACGTTAGGCATGCGCGTGACTCAATTGCCAGAGTTGCGAGACCACTGGATAAGGGATCTTATCCAGAGGCCCGTATGGAGGGCCAATCGTGACGCCAGCACATTCATATTACGGGTCCGTTGGCATTGCTGCGTGCCGGGAGCCGTACAAATAAACAGAGACGCCGTTTTGGAACCTCGTCGACCCGCTTAAAAAGTCGTCGTGCGCTGACGTGGCCCCGGGGTTTGGGAGCGAGTCGCGTCGCAGTCGATGACAAAGAGGGATCACGCAGCGGAACCCAGGAAATCAACGCGCGTCGCTCACCGCGATTGCGGCGCCTTTCAGGATTCTGCTGTCAACCCACGTTGGGGGTGAGCCCCACGGCGCTTTGCAGCAGAGGGGACGCCGTTTGAAGTTGCGCCGCAAGCTGTTGGGTGACCACTTAGTGGGGCCCGATTGCTACCCGTGGAACCGATCTAAAATGCTGTTTTGCTCTGTTAATTGAAAGGAGACGCTAATGAGTAGGAAGGAGTTTTTGGAATTGCCCCTAATGAATAGAGATTGGCACGGGCGATTCATGCGCGCACCCGTCTGGTCTTTTAAAAAACATTTCCGTTTATCTATTAAATTGTTTCATCCGCAGAGCGAGAGAGGCTATCTCACTCGGTGGGTGATGATTCACATTCCCGCACGATGGTTCCGTGAATTTTCAGGATTGTCGGTCACAGTTCAATTTAAAGAGCGTGTTACTTTTTAACTCTCTTTGTACAATCTTGTTGCGACTCTTTGTTGTTTGTTGTTCCCGTCCTGTTGCATTCACTCCCATTAGCCTGAATGTAACATTAGCCTGTAATTTGCTCGTGATTTAATTGCAATCAGCACACCCCTGTAAATCATCAGTTGTGACTCACAACATTGGGCGAGTATAATTTGCATAAGAATCGATTTTAGTAAACAAATAAGGCAGATGTGCCTTATTTGTTTTCTGTTTACGGTAATAGCGCAACATATTTGGGCAGGTTCATTGCAGATGTAATTCGCCTCTGATGTTAGACATACGCGAGAATCATACCCAGGTTGCCGGATTCATAGCGTAGTATGCGAACCCACGACATCCCCGCTCCACCAGTGCGTAGTATTACTTCGTAAAAGTAGATTTATACTCATGCCTCCTGCACTGATTACCGTGGTGAAGTACGGTCGAACAAACACGTGTGATCGACGCGCCACGGGGATGCCTTCATCCAGCAGCGGGTTGACAAGGTGGCTGTGCATTTTAATGAGTGTTAATAATTGGAAATGAATAAATGAATGAATCAACGACTCGCTGAATAGAATGGATGAATGAATGAATGGACGCGTGTTGATTGAACGCGCGTTGATCCGCAGGCCCTGCTGAACACGCAGATGAAGCTGCGGGAGCGTGTGAAGAACTTCACCTTCAACCTCGGCTTCTCCGGAAAATTCTACCACACAGGTACCGTGCAGCACCACCACTGGCTGAAGGGCCTCCCAGTACAGGGAGGCCGAGAAAAGAGTCCCTCTGGAGGTTGCTCGGGCTACGCTTTCAAACCAGCCCGACAGCTTCGAAGAGGTGTGAGTAATCCTCGCTTGTTGATGGTTCTTTGCTTTTTTTTTTCACTTATGCTGTTGTTTCAGCAGGCGAGAAATCAAGAGATCAGGATAGGTTCATATGCACGAGTGACCCGGGGCATTAGTCGGTTAGTCGGGGTGCCACGAGTGCTGTTTATAATCCCAATCGAGTAATTTGCGGGTAATTATTTATCTTGGCAAATTTGTACCCTGGCGCCTGGCACACAATATCCCACTCTTGTGAATCAAGTCGGGGGATATTGAACGTCCGGCGTAAAGCAGACGGCGCGTAATATTATCACGGTTATTAGGCCTGCAGTATTAACCAGGGCGGCTGCTGGAATTGAACCGTGAACCTCCGCAACAAGCGACGAACGCGCGCTACCTTTGGGTCAGGTCGTGGTCATGGTACCACTGACACTGACCGTGGCATTGTTGTAGTGATGGCGGTGATGGTGGCGGTAGTCCTCGTGATGCTTTCACTGACAGTGGCGATGGCGATGTTGATGTGATGTTGTGGTGGTGGTTGCAGGCACGGACGAGGAGGACAATGGTGATGACATGCTCATCTCCCACCGTGACCAGTTCTGGTGGTTCCCACACATGTGGAGCCACATGCAGCCCCACCTCTTCTACAACCAGAGCGTCCTCGTCGAGCAGATGGGACTCAACCGCCAGTTTGCCCTGGTACGTCGCGACGCGGCTCTGGTGTGAATTGGTGAGCGAATTAGCTGCTCGTTTTACAACCGGGCGGCAGCAGCAGTGACGGTGGTGGAGGAGCAGGGGTAGTTATTACCGAGGGGTTCTTGAGTCAGCCGGGTGGCTCAGCTGTCAGAGCACTGAGCTGCCGTGACTGCACATCCTATGCACTTTTGACTGCGTAGCCACTGGAGCTGTGCACTTTTAAACCTAGATTGAAAACGAATTTCTTTAGAACTGCTTTTATGTGTTTCGTTTGTTGTCCTTCCCCCGTACCTCCGATTAGCACGGTTGGCTACGTACGGTGCGAAGAAGTTCAATATACGTACGTACTGAGATTCTGGGTCTGAATCTGGGTGTTGACCGCCCTGAGATTTAACTGATTTTCTCCAGTGTTGCCGAGTAAATGGTTTCAACCATGTCGCGAATGGCTGCACACACAAAATAAGAAAAAAGATTTTATCAATCGGTAATTTTCATTTTAGTTCAACTACATTTTACGGCCCCGAGTGTTTAACGATGTTGGTTTGGCCACCTTATAATGGACATTCATAAAGCAGGGATTAAGTGCTGAAGTGCTGTACCCCTTCCATGTGGACAAATTGTGTCACTTGACACAACGGTGATACCTTGCTTTGAGTGAATTCAAATTCGACACCGTGCCTTTGACTCAAACTAATACCTCAATTATAATGAATGTAATTGCTTAAAAAGACAGAACAAAGTGAAAAATAGCCTGAAATAAATTAGCTTTTGTGTGTACTTCTAGATAGGTCTTCTTTGTAAAGGTGATTAATTGTCTCAGCGGGCTCCCCACAGGTTTGAATAAAGGTTCCCATTTAGCGAGTATTGATTCATCGATTCAACATAGATTCTGATGCTCACGATGCGTGCTTAAAGTCAAGGCACGTGGGAAAGTGCAGAGCCTCCACTGAGGATGAGAGGTCCCTTGTGATGTACAGGATATTCATAGAGTATGCGTGCCCCACACTAAAGAATTGATCAAGAATTGCATCTCAAGTACCATCCTTAATGCCTACCTACTAACCCACCTACATGTCCGTATACTATCCAGCAGCATGTTTACCCCTACTCTCGTACCTGGACATATGTGAAAAAGAGCTTCATAGCTCATCAGATTTCTGCAGTCTAAATACAGATTCTGATGATGATTCTTTGGTGGTTGTGACCAGCATCGCAACCGGCCTCATTTTTCAAACCAGTGCTGATGTTTACACACCACACCAGGTACTCAATTAAGCCTGAGGCAACCTAGGGGAGGCCCAGGACTTGTTTAGTTACCTCTCACCACTCGTGTATACCATGGCAGTGAACGAAACTCAGCCGGCCGTGTTTGTAGCGAGTGCACTAACTATCATGTGATCACTATGAGTAGAATATCCGCTTGCTATTAGTGAGGGATGCATTCCAGAAATGCTCGTGAATAGCAAATGTCGCGGATAATGATATTGGCCTACGAATACATAAATCAGCTATTAAACACATGAACATTATCTCATCGATTTAAAGCTTTCGTGACTACAGGGATTCATATTCTTGGTTCTTTCAGTAAAGTCACGTAGAAGGGAAACAATAAAATAAAAAATATGTTGCAGTCGAAACGTCGTGAGAATTTTATTGTTTTATATTTTTATTATTTTATTGTTTCCCTTCTACGTGACGTTACCGAAAGATCCAAGAATATTATCTCATTGCTATATCTCTTCACTTTCTCACATCACATTCTCTCTTGTCTTTATCTCTCTTTCTCTCTCGATGCAGTAGTCTTGTAGAGTTCCAGATGCGATTCGTGGATAGCCAAATCGCGGATAGGAAGTTCGTGAATAATGAGAGAATGCTGTTTGCATAGACACGTAGTGGGTTCACGTTTAGAGGCACCCTTGACTTGGGAGGCAACACATTTATTCTATGACCACAACAGGGTAACTACATAAACATAACAACAGGATAACTATATAGTGGTAACCACCACGGGGTAACTACGTAACTGGGTCAGGTCAGTTAACGCCACTCCCTGACCCACCATGCCGATCGTCAAGACGAAGAACGAAGAACGAAGACCGGCGGGTTCCCTTCCAGTAGACAGCCCGGATCGGACCTCGGGACCTCCCTTTTATGCCCCTCAGCGTGGCCCGGCTCTGCTTCGGCCACGCCCCCTTCTAGAACTCCCCAGAGGACTCTGGGCCTTACATCACATGTCCCTTCTGTCACCTTTGGCCCACATCATTACCCTGTCCTGTCACGTGCCCTTGCCAGCCAATCGGGCTGCTACGTCCTCACATGCTCTCTCTGCCCGCCGCTAGAACCATGCCCCTTAGGAACCATTTACCATAGCATAGCGCACCCTGCTGGCAGAGAGGGCTGCTTACACTCCAGTTCTCTATAAGTAACTGGCGCTCTGCGCCGTAGTGACCCAATATACATCACTCTACATACAAGGCTTCCAAAACCGCTAGGTCTCCGATGTGTTTTTCGGGTTATGCCTTGTGTTGTTCGGCACGATGACCGACATGGATGTAACCTGAAGAAGCTCCCGACAGTGTGGAGCGAAACATCGGACGTCGTGCCACACAACACGCATGGTGCAAGCCGACAACACGCCGGAGAGCCGTACGACGCAAGCGTGGAAACCTACGCAGTCGAAATTAAGGTTTTGGTGCCTTGGTAAAAAAAAAACACGCTTTTTTTCAAGTCAATGCCGCCATCCGCAGGACTCTTCTCTTTAACTGTTGACATCAGCAATACCCGGCACGGGCCACGGACGCATGCAGAGAAGGCTCAGAGACAGTCCCTAAGTGACTGCCCCTGCCACCTGACCTACCCAGCCCTCTACCCATGATGTCTCACCTTCATCTCTGCACCGTGGACGCGTGCGCCGTGGGCAATAGCCACCGTAACTCAAGTTAGTTCAAAATAGGCCTTTTAACCCTTCCTGGCAATGAAACGGGTTTTAAGATGTTCATACATCAAATAGATACCTATTTCAAGGCCTCAATTCTGCATTAACCACGGATAGTTGTGGCAAAACATGCACACAAACATGCTCTGATAATATATGCTTTGTCTTTGAAACTGATTGGCCTAACACCAGAGACAGCCTTTTTCAGGGCCTTGTCTCACCAATGTTTGACCAGAGCACCCCAAAAGGCAAGAAGGTCCCATAGACATCAAAACATACACTTTTTAGATCAGAGGGTACGAGATAAGAGGGAGGTCCACACAACGGTACATCCCCTTCTCACCGTCTCCCTGTGCAGTGGATATCGCGGCGTGGTTCTGCCATCGATAGACTCGTCGAGCGTTCGGTGAATTGGAGTTGAGCGGGTGAAGCCGTGTGGTTAATTTGGCAGTAACCATCGATTTTGACGCGAGCCCGAGCGAAGTACCCCCCCCCCCCATAACTTTATCCCAGTTTCCTTGCCCCCCCCCCAATCCTCCCACACCGTTACACCCCTTGCCGAGCCAAATTGATATAATCACCCCGTCCTCCCCCACTCCAGCCCTTGTCAGAGTGCAATTGAGAATTACGCCACTTATTTGCTACAAATCGTCGCGTTAGTCGCGGTCAAATTCTCGGAGAGAGGCCGCAAAGCCCCTGACGCGTTTTAATCGCGACAGCCATCGTTGTGGGACCGCTCAATGAGCTCTCCCTCTCTCCAAGCGAAACGGGACAATGCCATTTCTCGTTCACCTTGAACACTGGCCGTATTTGTCCTTGTTGCCATCGTCATCGTCATCATCATCATTTAGTTCTGATTTATCCACTGCTGGATGGAGGCATCTGTGCACCGATGCTATCCTTTTTTTTTGTCGAAACCACAATTAATCCTATTATTTTTTTTACCAGGTAAGGCCCACTGAGCTGTACAGCTCTTTTCAGAAGCGACCTGGCCACAAATTATAGCTCGACGAAGCGGCTTATCGCGTGGAGATTTATAGCAGCCAAATACTCTAAACGCACGCTTATAAATGTGGGGGGAACAACCGGAGGACCTGGAGAAAATTCCACGTGACTCCGGGGAGAACATGCAGCCTCCAAATATACAGCAGGCGTAAGGGTCTGGATCGAACCCACGACCTCCTGCATACCAGGCGAGGGAGTTAACATCTCGCCACCGTGGCGGCCTCGCAGCTGCACATGAGCTGACCTCGTCGCCGCTTGTCCACGGTGATCGTCCTCTTGGGGGTGTTCTCTCGCTTGGCTGCTATTCTTTCACCCGGTCTCATCCATTGTCCATTGGCCATCATTATCATTGTCGTCGTCGTCCCTTCTAGCTATCATCTGTCCAGGCCAAGCCGACTTACTTTTCCTGCCAATCAACTGGAATATATGTGTGTATGTAGAACTTATTTAGCATCATACATAGCCAACCTTGCTCATCGAAGGTGCGGGGGAAGGACAAGAGACTAAACGCAAAAAGCAGTTCTTAAGAAATGAGTTTTCAATCTAGATTATTTAAAAGTGCACAGCGCCAGTGGCTGCGTAAGAGCGTTCCAGACAGCCGCAGAAGCACTTCTGAAAGCGTGCAATGTGGTGACCGTCTTTGGTCGATGGTTCGCCAAAAGTTTGATGGTTATCCAAATAAGTTTGTGGGTTGAAGTATGTAGGTTGCGTTCGTTCCCTGATTGCTGTCGATACATGACTGTAACCCAGCAACTTGTAGCTTGGGGTTGATGGATCACCTGGAGGGCAATGAGTTGGTGCCTGCAGGAAAGCAAGCAGGTTGACCACCGTGGTGCTGAACAGTCAAATAACTGTCCTACAGCTCAAACGGCGCTCGGGAAGCCCTCGTTTCTGGAGTGAATTGGCACGAGAGCTGAACGTGTACGCTAACGGATGATTCCAAGTTTTTACCGCTGTCATTATTCCAAAGACCCGGTAATCAAACCACTCGCACCCCGATGCTTTCAAAGAGCAGCACTCATCATCGCGCACCGCGCCGTTCGGAGCACAAGCCTGGCAGGAA